ACATCAATCATATAGTCAAAGCTTTAGACTCTGAATGACATCGGTAATCAGGTCACTACGTGATGATAATGTCATCATCACAAGATATTGTTAGCAGGTTTTCTCGTACAATAACAAATGTGCTTTATAAACACAATGTTGGAGCAGCCAGAGAAAAACTAACAATAAAAAATGAAAAGGGTCAAGAGCCCAACTAAAGCAAACACTGACCACCATAATGGTGACTTGAAATGAAAAATTCTATAAAACATTGCCGTCTAAACTTCTGTTGAATCTCAATAAGTTTTGTAGATGTATGACAGAAATAAAGTCACACTGGTAATAATAAGTGCAATAATGTGTAAAGGCTCTAAGTAAGTAGTTCTTGTGTTTCTCTTTTTTTCCGTTCTTGTTGTTTCTCTTTCCTTCAATTCTTCTTCTTATTAACATTAGGTGTCACCACTAATGGCTAATCATCACTTAATTAATCACTTAATTATCTCATTAATTTCAACACTGCTTCAGTGTTCATTTTTAACACCCTGTAGCTGGACCTATATGTAGGGCTGGGCGATATATCGCACGATATGTTATGCGCATCTCTTCAGTAAAGCCGGTTCCTTGATTAGCAGTAAATCACCTTCACCTGCTTTCAGATGGAAGATATGATGCAGATATGAGTGTTAAATTAACACTCAAGAGTGTTAAAGTTAATGAGATAATTAAGTGATTAATTTAGTGATGATTGAGCATTATTGAAGACACCTGATGTTAACAAGCAGAATCATTGAAGGAGAAAATCACAAATTGTGAGCCACCGTTATGGCGATCAGTGTTTGCTTTGTTGGACTCTTGACCCTTATACTTTCATCTTTAAATTTTGTTTGTCTGCTGTTATTGATTTATAACAGTCAAATGAACACAGAAAAGTGTGATCTGATAGTGTTGGTTATGTTTGGGCATACTCATGCTGTGATCTGAAAAATGAAACTTATTGAGCTAGTTTGGTTTAAATCATTAGCAACAGCTTTGTGATCCTACGGCATATTATTATCAGTATTTTTCTTATAAACCAAAATATTTATCAAACATTGTTCTGATTAAAAATAGTTTCAAATGAATTTTTTTAGAAACACAGACATCAATAATCAGCCTGTGAATCTCAACAATGGTGACATTAATAATGAATGTTGCAGTGGCTGCCACCAATCACAACTTATTAATGGCTCCCATCATGCATTGCGGTATGAATAAATTATGATCTGAATTGTCTATGTAATTTACTTTTCCTAATTGAATATTCTGCTCATCACCATTGTTGAGATGCATTGACTGAATCTTGATATCTGTGTGTGCCTAAAGGAAAGATTTTTTTTTTTTTTTACAACTTTTAAGAAATCCTTTATATTATATCACAAATTCTGGATATTTATGCAGAGTCTCAGTTATACTGTAACCAACAGCATAAATCACAAACAATTAGCTCAAATGATGAATATCATAATATAATCAATACCATTAGATCATTGTTTTTCTTTGTTCATCTTGCAGGTATAACTCGGATACAACAGCTGAACAAAATCTAAAGTTAATAATAAAAGGGTCAAGAGCCCAACTAAAGCAAACACTCATCTCCATAATGGTGACCTGAAATTCCGGTTTTCTTCTTCAGTGATTCTGCTTCAGGTCTCTTCAATAATGCTCAATCATCACTCAATTAATCACTTAAATATCTCATTAACTTTAACACTCTTGAGTGTGGACTCATATACACTCCCAGGTGTGTTCATTTAACACTGGAGTTTTTGCTGTGTACAAAGAGCCGTAGTTAACTGACAAGCTGAGCCATATCGCATTAAATATCGCTGGCGATACGTCCGCGATATTAGTGCGATATGGCTCAGCTTGTCAGTGAACTACGGCTCTTTGTAGTAAATGCCGCTCCATCTGAAAGCAGGTGAAGGCGATTTACTACTAATCAAGGAACCGGCTTTACTGACGAGATGCGCATAACAATATCGTGCGATATATCACCCAGCCCTACCTATATGTACACCGAGAGTGTTAATTTAACACTGGGAATTTTGCTGTGTATAACAAAATAAAACATTGTTCATCCTCATCCAAAATGTTTCATTCAACATCACAGTCATTATCTGTATCTGACTTTTTAGTACAGTTGAATGCTGCGTTTTTCTATCACTAAATAACAGTCTAAAAATTAACATACCAGATTGCGGTAGACAATGATTTCAAAAACATACCTTTTGCCACATGCCATACATCAAACTCGTGATGAATGTTTTGGTAGTCTACCCGCATTATCTTGCGAATTGATGGGGATCTGTCAGTTGTCAACACACTTACTCCAATGTTGTCATCTAGGATTTTGTTGAGTGCTCTGCGGAAACCAGTTGACTCCATTGCTACAGAGCTTGATGATTCTGTAACCTGTAATAAAAATAAAAACAATGGTTTATACTTGATAAAGTAATTATAAAATAACCAAAACATATTTCAGTATTGTCATGGACACATACTTGCACCAGTTCAAAGTGTATCACTTTGTCTGTGATGTCATCCATCAAGCTGCATGTGGTGTACTTTGCTGAATATCCAGGACTGTGTTGAGATATAAAAGAGATTCCACTGTCAAAGTTAATTGTAACTAAAAAAATGACATAACATAAAAAAATATCACGAACATTTAAAACAACATGTCTGATCTCCCATCTCCTGATAAATGAATTTCCTTTCTTTCTGTGTTTCCTGCTTTCAAAGTATCCAGTACAGCACTCTGTTGTTCTTTGAATACCTCATCAATTGCAGGTATGAGGTATGAAGACTGTATTGCATTAAAAGTAGTTTTGTGTGGTACCTGAAGGTTAAACACAGCAGCCCATTCAGAGATGTCTGCATATGTGGACCCCGTAAACAAAGTACTTGCTGAAACTAGAAGGTTGTTTGATGGCATTCCACGCACATCAGAACAAGATTTCCAGTGCCCCTTATGTCCTTGTTCACATTGCCAAATAACGCTGATTAGGCTCCCCACAGATGTGATATTTTTCCCAGAGATCAGTGCACCACAGTCTTGACATCTTCTAAATTGTTGCATCAAAGCAGATTCATTAACAATCCATTTCCGTTCTTGCCATATCTGTTCCTCCTCTTCCTCTGTCGTAGTGGTTGTACTGGAGGCAGATGTGGAACTGTGCGGAACAAAACTAACATCCTTCTTTTCAGAAGGTGGATCTAATGAAAGCATGCTGATATTTAGGTCATCAGGCTCGCTGTCACCAGCAATTGGTTCATCCTACAAGACAAAAGGAATTATTTTTAACAGTTTGTGTAGATACGTTTGAAAACAATTCATAAAATTTAACATTACAAACGACTGTATTCAATTTACAGTTGTTACAGTTAACCAGGACATGTAACCATTTTTATGCTGACATGTAAAATTAAGAACCAGTCTAATACTTACAAGCTGGCTCCTTACAGCAGGAATAGCATAATATGTCCCAGATGTGGAGGGATATGTATGTTTTTCAGAAGACTGTGGACTTGTTAGTAGTAACAGCAAATGCTTGTGTGATTTATCTTCTTGTCCAGTGCATGTTTCAGCACCACTTTTCATTGCCTTCTGAGGTGTTGATTGTGGAACATCTTTTAGTCCGATGTATGTACACTGAAAACCCTAATAAGTTGATTGAACTCAATTGATTTGAGTAAACTCGTTCCCTCAATTTAATTGAGTAATGGGGTCTCCCAAAACATGTATATTTAAGTGTACTTAACTTGGTGCTTACCAAGGCACTCTGTTGCATGACCTTCACCTGACTCGTGTTCTGTTGGCTGGTATGGTTCCTGTACGCTTTCCTAAAAAAAAAATTGCTTGTTATTACAAAGTCAATACTAAGTTGAGCTACATGAACATAATAATACACACTGTGTATTATTATTAATACACAGTTAGTACCCGGATAAGCGCAAATTAGTACCAATAATAATACACACACTGTGTATTATTATTATTATTAGTATTATTATCATTGACTGCACCCTTATGAGTAGTACACATAGTTTTACATTGGTTTGACTACATTATCTCTCATGTAAAAAATCATGCTTACCAAATATATGGTGCCCATATAAAAAAGTAGTAGTTATAGAAATGCAAGTAACGTAATTGTTTTCTTTTACGACGGTTTAAACATCCCGGATAAGCGCAAATTAGTACCATTTTAATTAGCCGTCTTATCTACAATCTATGTTCTGTGTAAACAATGAGTGACGTACACGCGCAAGAGATCACTTCCGTCGCTTGCGCAGACCGAAGGCCCGGGCCCTCAGATCACTTGGATGTGGCTGTGTTTGCAAGAGGTAAAACCGATATAAATACTGGTCGTTTTCTCACACAAACCGCTCGTTTCGTGTCTTAGGCCATCAATGTGTACTTACATTTACGAGTCATTAAATCATGTTTAATTTGGACTTCTCTGTGCATGCTCTTTGAGGTGGTGACCATAGACCTGCATTATATGACTGACAGAGAAGAATGGTTTGACCTAAAAATATCAAAATTGAAAATACTGCGGAAACAAAGACACCTACATCTTGGATGCCCTTGAGGTAAGCTAAAACACATCAAAAATTAATTTCAAAGTGAACTATCCCTTTAACCCAGCTATCACATTTAGTAGGTTATTCTATAGGTCTACAATGACCCAGAAATGACCACACACAAGCTTGAATTTGGTAAAAACTGATACAGCCTTTTTATTTGCTTACAGAAATAGATTAAGTCAAAAATTCAAATGACATTAAGAAACAAATTATCAAGCCAGTGACATCGCAAAATGTTTTTAGTCTCACTAAACACCGTGTTTTTGGTTCTTGGCTCTTTCCTTTGTATTCTGCTCTTGTAATGAGAAAAGGATCACAGACACTGCGTTCCTGCCATCAATTTACCTGATTTAACGAATAATGAATAACTGAGTGAATTAGCATGCTAATGTTTCATTGTTTTGGCCTTTGTCTTCATGATGGTCTCATTTACTCATTTGACACGGCTGTAGATCACAGAAGCCTCTTCCACAGTCTGCACATTTGATCGCCTAAAAACATCAAATAAAACAATCATGTTATGTATCAGAATACATAATGATAAAAGTCATTAAAAAAATCAGATACCTTGTTTCTGAAACATCAGTGGGACACAAAGTTATTAAGAAAAAATCTAACATGACTGAGTTGATGGCAAATGTTTTATTTGTGTGTGAACTGTCTCTTTAAACTCGTTCTTCTCACCTCACGGCAGCATCAGGCTGACCAATCCTGATATTGTCGTAGTGGCTTTCGTCCTCCTCTGCTCTCTTCGTCTCGGTCTTTCTGTGATGTTGGACAGTTGCGTACTGGATCTCCTCAGCGTCTCTGCATTCAGGAGCGTTTCCGTCTCTTCTGGGTTTGCTGGGAGTAACACTTTCGTACTGAGCGTCATCACAATCGGCTGATTCAGAAACATGAGCGTCTCTCCCTGCTACGGTAGAGTACAGATTGTCCTGAAACGGAAGAAAATTTAATATTATTTATCATTCACATTTAAAGGCTGTTCACACAGAACACATTTTTCCATTTCAGTGCACTACTTTTCCATTGTTTTTCTATAACACACTCACGTGACACCGTTAAACACGGCACTGAAATTAAAAAGCGGTAAACTTTTCTAGACACATCTAAACTTTTGGGTTTTTTTTGTCTCTCGTTCCACTGACTTGTCTCTCATGTTTTGTGTGAATCGCCCCGTCTAACTAGACTATTCACATGTTGTGTCTAGAAGATGTACCTGTTTTTCGGTGAGGTCTTCAGCTTTAGCACCTCTTCGTTTTCTCCTGATTTAACAGATATTAAACTTGTAAATGCATTTTAAAGATTAATTATTAATCACATTACATGAGGCATTTCCACCTGCACTAGTTTTAAATTGAATTACATCCATACACTCACTGTATTTGAGAATGATTTTAATCAAACTTACATTATAAACAGAATGATGATGATGACGATGAAGAATCCTAAACACACTGTGATCCCCAACCAGAGCCAGCCATGACCACGATGTACTGAAAGATGAAGCATTTGAGTTCAGATTAACTCTCAAAGCTACACAACTTGAACCCTTTATAAAATCTAAGCCTGACCAGTTACAGCGTCTGATCTCTGAGATCCATGTTGATTGTGAGCCTGACAGTAGAAGCGTCCACTCTGTAGTGCACTGAAACTCTGTCCAGATCCAACAGCTGAGGTTTCATTCTCCTTAAACCAGCTGAAGTTCAGAGCAGGAGGGTTTGAGTCACTGATGCACTTCAGAGTCACTGAATCTCCCAGCCAAATCTGACCAGACTGAATGATGGACACTGAGACGCTCCTGGGAGGGTCTAAAACAGACAAAATAAACTCTATATTAATGTTTCGCGATTGTTAATCCACTAATTAGTTTGTTACAACAGTTACTGAACCATCATTAACTCACACATGACATTTAAAGTCACAGCGGCGTATTTCTCTCCATGTTCATTGATGGACTTGCACTTGTATTCTCCACTGTCATCAGAGCTGATCTTTGAGATTCTGTAGATTATTACAGATCCTACAAACATTTCTGCTTTAAACCAGCGGATTTCTGCAGGAGGGTTTGAGTCACTGATGCAGTTCAGAGTCACTGAATCTCCCTCCACTATTACACCAGATGGACTGATGGACACTGAGATGCTTCTGGGAGGATCTAAAACAGAGAAATAGTGATATATCATTAACAATCATATTAAACTTGACATCATAGACGTTTAGAGGATTTAATGTCACAGTTATTGAACCATCATTAACTCACACATGACGTTTAAAGTCACAGCATCAGAGTATTTCTCTCCATGTTCATTGATGGACTTGCACTTGTATTCTCCACTGTCATCAGAGCTGATCTTTGAGATGCTGAAGATTCTTCCAGATCCTACAATCTTTCTTCCTTTAAACCAGCGGATTTCTGCAGGAGGGTTTGAGTCACTGATGCAGTTCAGAGTCACTGAATCTCCCTCCACTATTACACCAGATGGACTGATGGCGATCACAGGATTCACTGGAGGATCTACAGGAGAAATATATAGTATCACCCGTCAACCCAACAAAGCACTTCTATTTCTGTTCTTACACACAGATGGTAGGTGCAGAATTTAGCATTAACAACATAAATCCATGGATCCTTGTGTCAAAAGATCATGTCAAGTATTAAGAAATATCCCAAATAAAAAACACTGTATTTTTTTTTTCTGTGTTTGTGGTAGGGCTGTATTGTCCTAGTCGATTAGTCGATTAATTGGTCGATACGTTCTGGTTCGACCAAAATTCTGATTGGTCGATTTTTTCCCCGCGTTCATTTAATCAGTTTTGCCCATAGACTGTAAAAAATGGTTTTGCCGCGCTGAGGCGCGCTCATTTCATCAGGTGGAAAGCACTAACTGCTAATGGGGGTGTTTTCAGAGTACCCTTGTTTCACAGGTAACAGTCTGTCTTCAGAACACCCCTTTGTTTTCACCTTTTTTGGATTAGCCCAACCCAAGAGAGAACGATAAGTAGGCTATAAGGTTTGATGCTGAATATTATTTATTTAATTGTGAGAGCGTTTATAGTCAGTCCTCTTCTAACATGTCAACAACAAAGAAATCGACAGTGTGGCAGCATTTTGTTAAAATTGATAACGGAAAAAGGTCGAATGCAAAGTGTGCTAGCAACCACACCTCGACGACAAACATATATCAAGTGGTAAGCTCACTTGTCTGCGTTAGCTTGCCCTGTCTGTTTTGAGTAGGCTATATGAACAAATCAGAATTTGCATATTTCAATGTTTTAGTGTGATAACCTAACTTTTTTATTTTTTGTTTGGAGCCTAATGCGCAATTGCGCTGTGCCGACTGTTTGTGTTAGTTTTGAGCCTAAGATGCATTATTTTTCAGTTATGCACTTTATTTCGTTTCTGCTCTTGATCTGGTTTGTTTAATAAATATATATTTTTTTTATTAAAGTGTGTTTATTAAGAGTAAAAGCTTTAAGTTTATAGTCTATTCGTGTCTCAGCCGCGAAGCTGATCTCTCCTATGTTCAGCCTGTGCGAGGACATGCACAGAGCGGCTGAAATGATAGTGTCTGACAGTTATAACATATGACGAAAATAATTGTCTAAATTATGTTGCATATTCCTCAACAGTTCGTGTGATGATATTACTAGTTGACAACATAGTACTATCTTCGGAAATCATAGGCTATGATATTGCGCAGGTGCACGTGATGCAACGCTGTCAGAGCCGACAGACTCGTGTGTCAGACTCATTTCAGTGCAAAATAATTCGGTCAAAAACGATTTAATATACTGCAAATAGCCTACTAGTTTTTTTATGTTTATTTATAATTCATTTAGGCGGACAGCAAGGCTACCAAGTACTGGCACTGTGCGCAGCTAATTAATTTTACGTTTTTTTTTTTCCTACCGTCATTTTTAGTCGATTTTAGTCGATTTTTAGTCGAAAATGTCAGGACTTCAGTCGACCAAGATTTTCTTTGGTTGAATACAGCCCTAGTTTGTGGTAATCAGTAAATCAGTGCTGGATAGATTACTTACAAACTATAGTCAGTTAGTGATTCCAAATTACATGACAAAAATTGTAGTTAGTAACATAATTGTTAGGTGTGACTGAAAGCGCTAGTGATGTTCTGCTCTTGAACGAATCATTCTTATAATATAACAGAAAATGTTAAAAACACACGTATTGGTCATGTCTTGTGGCTGTACTATTAAAACAGTGAGTATTTTAATGTTTTAAAGATTAGCCCCAATTACTTCCATTTTTAAACAAAAGGAGGGACGAGTGAACTCTAATGGCTTTGGAAAGAAAACTTTAAAGAACATACTCACACATGACATTGAGCTGAACATCAGGAGAGACGTGAGTGTGTCCGTCTACAGCACAGCTATATCTGCCTGAATCCTCTCTTCTGACTGACTGCAGCAGGAGTTCATTGTTTCTGTCTCTTCTCTCAGTTAATGGCTGTGAGTTTCTGTACCAGATGAATGTTGCTCTGTCAGTCAGAGCGCAGCTGCTTTTACATGTCAGACTGACTGAATCTCCCTCTGTCACTCTCTCAGGAGACTCCACCTGAAGATCTGAACACAACACACACATTATATCTAGTGCTGCTGTCATACACTGATTATTATTCAACATAATGCACAGAAGAAGAAGAGATAAACCTCATCAAAGTCACCTGTGACAGTAAGATTCACTCCTGATTTACCAGTCCATTTTCCATCAGGTTTATCAGTGATGAATCTGAAATAGTACATGTGTGAATCCTTCAGTGTCACATGACTCAGTCTGACGGCGCAGTTCTGCTGTTTATCTCCCAGATACTGAAGCCTCCGACTGTATTCAGGGTCCTTAGACAGATCTGGAAACTCTCCATGATCTATTACCAGTGATTTGGTCCAGAACGCTTTCGTGATCTGATGTCCAGTAGGGTATGTATAAGTGCATCTCATTATCACTGTTGAGTCCTTTAGTGCACAGATGTGTGAAGGACTGTAACTCACACCCCAATCACCCCACTGGCTACAAACTCCTGAAACACAACATTCACTAGGAAACAACAGTAGAAGGAAACAAATGCCCATCTATGAGGACCATACACTTTCATTAAAACTTGTTTTTCTTCACAAAACTTGTATTTATAAATGAAGAATTACACTTATGATGTGATCTGTGTAAAACCTACAGACATCAGACAGAAGGTGATGAAATGCAGAAAGCAGAACATTGAACACTAACTATGAATAATGTCATGCTGTAAATGTTAGCAGCTTCAGCAGTTCGCATTATATCAGCAAAAACCTGAATAATACCATTTTGTTTGGAAGCAACAAATAAATCATAGAAATTTCCCTACGTTATAGTAGATATTTGACTAGTGATATTTTTCCTGGGGCTAGCAGCAGTGCTAACTGATCCATGTTAACTAGCCAAAACCTTATTCTCTTAGGTAGTAATTAACATTTACAGAAAAGACTGACCTGGAATCAGGAGCAGAAACACCAGAGCAAGAGTGATCAGTGACATCACCACAGCAAACTAAATAATTTACACAACAGTACACCATGTCATCTTTTGTTTCATAAAAACTATAACAGCAGTGTATTATATTATAAACAGTGCAAAAATGATTGAAAATACTTTCAAATCTTTACTGTTCGTATAGATTTCCACGATTGAAACTCATTTAAAGACAGCGTTAGGAACACATGGGCTCTGGATGTTCAGAGGTTATAATGAAAGAAAATGTTTCTCACTTTAATTTTCTTGTGTGGAGATTCATTAGTTAGACAATATTAACAAGTGTAACTCTTACCGTTTTGTAGTTTCAGCCGCTGTAAACACACTCCAGGAGAGTGAACTGCAAATGCAAGCTGAAAACTTTCTTCTGCTATTTTACAGTTTTTTTCCCTTCCTCTTTTTAAAGACTTTTTAAGCAACCGGCCCAACGCTGAGACAGCAACAACCCACATGAAACCACTTGCAAATAGAAAAAAAATAAAACACTCTCTCTAAATGCATGGCAACAGATCTTACAGATATCAAATGAAACTTTCAGTGTGAAGGGAAACTTCCTGTCACCATGATTAGATGGTGTTTTTCAGCTTCCTGAAGAGTGTTTTTCTTTCTTTAAGACAAGTAGTTCTTCATTTTTAAAGACAGGGTTTACAAAATAAGATCAAACTGTGTATGTTTTTATGCATGTTCAGTAATATTTTACAGCTCCTTGAGGCAGGAACATGCAAATGCCTTCCCTTATAGAAGAATCAGGCAAAAAGATGATGGATGGATGGATGGATGGATAGATGGATGGATGGATGGATGGATGGATGGATGGATGGATGGATGGATGGATGGATGGATGGATGGATGGATGGATGGATGGATGGATGGATGGATGGATGGATGATTGTGTAGATGGATGGAGGAAGGGATGGATGTGTGGATTGATGAATTTTTGAATGGATGAATGAATTAATGAATGAAAGAAAGAAAGAATATGATGGATGGTTGGTGTAACATTGAGGATGGCCAGACTTTACCTCCACTGCCCTGAAGAGGGAGAGGTTTATTCTTCTGACACTGTGTTTGTGTTTATCCATGTGCATTAGGGAAGTGTAACTCTATAAACACACACACACACACACACACACACACAATCTCTATCTAGTTTGCAGTATGAGAACAGGTAGTGGGAGTCAATCTTCAAGTCGACAGTCATGAGAACCGTCTCCTCCATCAGTTTCTCAGGTATGATATCTGTCATAACACTAAATCAGTAAGAATTGCACTTTTTTCTCTTCTAATAACTCTGAATCGTTCTCTGTCAGCAGTGTTTGTTCTGTCAGCGCTGTGGCTGATGAATAACTCACTGGCTCTCACCGTCACTGGATCTGTGGGAAGCAACATCTCAGTCTCCTGTAGATACCCTGAAACATACGAGAATAACAGCAAGTTCTTCTGTCAGATGAGCGGCCGGTTTTCTCCGAGAGATCCTCAGTGTGTTCACACGAGCCATCGAGGCACGAGGTCTGAACGAGGGAGACTGGCTCTTCTGGACGACACCAGCGCTCATGTTCTCACGGCTCTCGTCTCTGGACTGGCTTCAGAAGACTCGGGGAAGTACTGGTGTGGTGTAGATATCGATCTCCTGCCGGATTTTACCTCTGAGATCTGGATAACGGTCAGCAAAGGTGAGATGCACAACAGCTGAAGACTCACTGTCCTACTGAATATACTTACGAGCGGTTGATGTGATGGGGTTTTCTGTTGGAACGGTGTCGTGTTAATAACTAATGATCTTTGCAATGGAAGTGAATCAATCAAAACTAACTTTAGCTGGACAATAACTTTACTCTAGCGCTGCTGTAAGGCCAAAACAATTTCAGTTATACTTTAATTCCCTATTATCACTGTAAAGCTGCTTTGAAACAATCTGTATTGTTAAAAGCGCTATAAATGAAGGTGACAACTTGACTTGACTTGACTTAAACATCCTCATTTGTCTAAACATCAATTGTTTAACTGTTGTGGAAAAAAATACATTCAAGCTCCATGTACAACTATTTTAAAAAGCTCTTTTACACTGTGCCTGCGTTTTTTAAGAGCTCATGTAAATTGAGCAATGATGACATGGGATATACAGATTCGTCACACATACTGTGACACCTAATTGAAACGTCCATTTATTGTGTAATTGTCATACAACTCATGTCACGATCGATTATTTATGCGATCCCGATCTGCTCGGCATCATTTGCACTGAGAAACACTGACCGTACAACAGTCACAGAGATGTTTGAGGTGCCACTGAGACTCAGATTGGTTTCAGATGGGATGTGATACAGAGTTGTCTTCCTCTTACACGTCTCATCATGAGTCAGTGTGAGAACTGATCTCAATGGCATGTGTGGTGAATGAATGCCAGCTGAGGTTTCGATATAGATGATGAACTTTAGTCCTTTCGCTTTTTAATTCTGTGCAGGGGATCCACAAGAACAAACCACAGACCTGTTCCCAGAAGAATCTGGCGGTGAGGTTACGAAAACACACACACACACACACGGTTCTCCTTTTTCAGTCAACTCATTGTGGGTTTGCATCAACAGAGTCTTACTCCAGGTTCACGTTGATGATGGTGGCTTTGATGTGTGTTTGCGCTCTGCTTTTCGTGTTTCTGTTTGGTCTGTTTCAAGTCCTGAAACACAGCAGTCGCCGTAACTCAGGTGAGACCACAGCACTGACAGAACATGTCTTTTCTTCAAAACATCTTCCGTTGAAGTTCTGAGTTTAATGAATCCATAATTAAATCGTTATGCTCTTATCAGGTTCTGCTCCTCACCGAAGGACAATATCAAACCCAGTGCAGGTGACGACAGCAAATCTCATTCATAATTAATAATGTTGTTTTAACATAAGTGCTATTTTAGAATCATTGAGATACTATTGTTATGCACATCATGGCCATATTCCAGGATGACAATGTCAAGATTTATGGAAATAAATGTTGTGATGTTATTTCCATCAAGAGGTGCATCAGTTTTTGGGCAAGATCTTGTATTGACAATGCAAGAGTCCAGCACTCTGTAAAGTGTCCGCCAGCACATCCCAAAGACTCTCAATGAGTGGTTGATTATGATTCCACTTTTCTAACTTTAGTTAGTGTGTAATGTTGCTGTTTGAGCATAAGCAACATCTGCAAAGTTACAACGCTCAAAGTTCAAAGCAAAGGGAGATATTTGCTTTTAAAGAAATTGCTTTATAAGGACTTCAACAAACGGCTGGTAGGGACTACACGAGCTAATAATAGTGACATCACCAACCCTAGAATTTACATAAACCCCGCCCCCTTAACACGATTTATAGATTATCATGACAGAATATGCTAATCAATGTCTAGAAGATAACTATACATAAGCTACATAAATTCATCAACTAACCATTCAGAAACGTCCTGTTGCTTTTACATGGTGTCACTTCTTCTTGAGTCTCTCCATCTTTGTCTGACTCCGGTTTGAACATAAAAGGCTAAACGTTTTTGAAATGTTCAGTGCATGTGTGTGAGGTAAAAGGACACGAGCTGTTGAAGCTCCGCCCCCTGTGTCGGGAGCAGCAGCTCATTTGCATTTTAAGGGACAGACACAAAAACGGTGTGTTTTTGCTCACCCTCAAAAAGAGACAATTTTAACATGATATATAAAAATATCTGTGGGGTATTTTGAGCTCAAACTTCACATACACACTCTGGGGACATCAGAGACTTATTTTACATCTTGTGAAAAGGGCATTATACCACCCCTTTAAGGTCTGGAATCAAAGAAGCCGATTCATGTGTGGAAATGATTCTTCGTCTTTCACAATTAGAGCCTGATGAATCTTGACATTGTAATCCTTGAACATGGCCATGATGTTCTTCCTACATGATTGCTTAAGAAATGAAAACCACACACTCCATCAATTAAGGTTAGAAGAACTGTTGCCAAACATGTAACATGCCAGAAACATAATAATCACTGCAATAATGTTCCAATCGTTGACTCTTACACCGTGTCCTAACTACACGCGGGCGACGCCGCAACACGCGATATCAGAGTTTTTGTCCTAACCAGCCGCAACGGCGACACGCGATGAACCTATTTTAGAAACGGTTTCTATTTTTCTGCGACATCCCACTGCTACAACAAACACAAAGTGTGGCAATGACAATCTCAGGCACTGTTTATGTGCTTTATTTAATGTTAAAAGTGTGTAATGTGACTTTGAATATCATTTAGTGCTCCAGCTTTGTAGCCGTAAAAGCAACAATGGATTATTCACCTCTGATCTTGAAATTAAACAAATGGAAACAAGAAAATTCCAACTGTGAACAAACAAAATATTGTTTTAGTTACTCAATAGCCTATGTTTTTGAATAATGTTTAAATGGTGTAATATTTGTGAATGTGATTATGTAGTCTACTTATCCATTTTCTTGTGATTGCCGTCAAGATTACTCTCTGGTGCTGTGCACTTGCCACGAGACTCCGCCCACACGCTGTTCTGATTGGCTGTGGGTTTTGAATGATTTTGACGCATCTCGCAGTCGCGTCGCGCTGGAATCTTATCGCATCGTGTCTGGCTAGGACACGGTGTTAAGCATTTGCCTACTTAAATCCAAACAGCAACTTTTTTTTTTTGGCCAGGCAGTTTATATTTTATATTAGCAGTTATCTGCTTATAATTTATAAGTTATATTTATGTATTTTATATAGGATGCCTACCAGAGAATAAGGCTTCCAGACTCATACAAAGCTCAAAGTGATAAAGAGGAAATTTACAGACCCATAAACCTGGATTATACAAACACAGAAGCGGTCGACACAGACTCCTACTACATAGATGTAGTTTCAGCACAAACACAAGATCAGATCTACACAGAACTGAACGCCAGTAGACGGAGTCACGTGTATCAGAGTTTAACAGCGGATTCTGCTCAAGAAGAGGCGATCTATCACACTATTGATCACTGAATCCTCATCAACAGCGGCATCAAACCCCTAGATTCCTCTGACAGCTGCGATAATACAACCTCTGTCAACATCACACGTTTTTGTGTTGTTTTCACAAAATAAAATAAAAAATATTAAATTAACTGAATCAATTGAGACAGTCTTTTGTTAAAGTCCCTGTGGTGAAAATCAAGTTTTTAATGTTGTTTTGTCTATTTTTGTGTCTTTAATATGTCATTTTGTGATTAAAGATGAGTTTGCTAAAATTATAAAATTAAAATGATGAGTTTGTAAAAAAAATCACGGGGATAAAATTGCCTACAGGGGGACTTCAATATGGAGCAGAAAAACGTTAGAATGCACACACAAAAAAAACGGATCTTGAGATGGTATGTTAGTAAATACAGAATTCATTCACATTT